ATTCGGGTGTCATCTGCAAAGGAAGACACGGTGCTGTGGCTGACATCCTTGTCTATGTCGGACATGAGGATGAGGAACAAGATGGGAGCTAGTACTGGTGCCTTGTGGAACAGAGCTTTTCACCGTAGCTGCCTCGGACTTTACTCTGTTGACGACTACTCTCTGTGTTCTGTTAGTGAGAAATTATAGATCCATCGACCGACTTTTCTGTTATTCCTTTAGCGCGCATTTTGTGCGCTATTACCGCCATGGTCACACTTGTCGAAGGCTTTTGCAAAGTCTGTATATATTACATCTGCATTCTTTTTGTCTTCTAGCGCATTTTAGGACCTTGTCGTAGTGATCCAGTAGTTGAGACAGACAGGAGCGACCTGTTCTAAACCCATGTTGCCCTGGGTTGTGTAACTGATGGGTTTCTAGATGGGTGGTGATCTTGCTTCTTAGGACCCTTTCAAAGATTTTTATGATATGGGATGTTAGTGCTATTGGTCTGTAGTTCTTTGCTGTTGCTTTACTGCCCCCTTTGTGGAGTGGGGCTATGTCTGTTGTTTTTTAGTAACTGAGGGACGACCCCCGTGTCCATGCTCCCTCTCCATAGGATGGAAAAGGCTCGTGATAGGGGCTTCTTGCAGTTCTTGATGAACACAGAGTTCCATGAGTCTGGCCCTGGGGCAGAGTGCATGGGCATGTCATTTATCGCCTGTTCGAAGTCATTTGGCGTCAGGATAACATCGGATAGGCTTTGTGTTAATCAAATTTGTGGCTCTCTCATAAAAAATTCATTTTGATCTTCGACTCTCAGTCTGGTTAGCGGCTTGCTAAAAACTGAGTCATATGGGACTTGAGTAGCTCACTCATTTCCTTGCTGTCATCTGTGTAGGACCTCTTGTTCTCTGTACATTTTCTAGGTCAGAATTTCACCTGCCTTGAAAGGTGCTGTTAGTGTGCAGCAATATTCCAGCCTAGATAGAACAAGTGACCTGAAGAATGTCATCATGGCTTGGTCTCCCTAGTTTTTGAAGGTTCTCATTATCCATCCTGTCATTTTTCTAGCAGATGCGATTGATACAATGTTAAGGTCCTTGAAGGTGAGATCCTCCGACATGATCCCATATCATAAAAATCTTTGAAAGGGTCCTAAGAAGCAAGATCACCACCCATCTAGAAACCCATCAGTTACACAACCCAGGGCAACATGGGTTTAGAACAGGTCGCTCCTGTCTGTCTCAACTACTGGATCACTACGACAAGGTCCTAAATGCACTAGAAGACAAAAAAATGCAGATGTAATATATACAGACTTTGCAAAAGCCTTCGACAAGTGTGACCATGGCGTAATAGCGCACAAAATGCGCGCTAAAGGAATAACAGGAAAAGTCGGTCGATGGATCTATAATTTCCTCACTAACAGAACACAGAGAGTAGTCGTCAACAGAGTAAAGTCCGAGGCAGCTACGGTGAAAAGCTCTTTTCCACAAGGCACAGTACTAGCCCCCATCTTTTCCCCACCCCCAATATCCGACATAGACAAGGAGTCAGCCACAGCCCCGGTCTCCTTTGCAGAAAAACCCGAATCTGAGCAGTGTTTTCCCATGGCAGACCTGCAAGGCTCCAGGGACATCAACCAAATCTTTTAGGGGCTGCAGAAAAAATATGAAGTTCAACGATGAAAAAAATTTCAATTACTCAAAAAATGGAAACATAGAAATTAAATCTTCATCAAGTACAAAAAAATTTTCTGGCCAAAAATAGAGCAAAAACCCCAACCGTCAAAGACCGGGGAGTGATTATGTCGGAGGATCTCCCCTTAAAAGGCCCATAACTTTGTATCAATGCTCTCTAGAAAAATGACAGGATGGATAAGGGAAAACCTTCAAAACTAGGGGGCCAAGCCTATAAACTCTTCAGGTCATTTTCTATTAGGCGGAATATTGCTCCCCTTAACACACCTTTCAAGGCAGGTGAAATTGCCGACCAAAAAATGTACAGAAACTTTCACGGCGCGCAAAAACGGAGATAAAACCCCTAATTACGGGGAGCGCTTGAGGTTTCAAAACCCTGTATTCCCTGGAACGCAGGAGGGAAAGGAAAAAATTTTAAACACCTGGAAAATCCAAAGGGGGACTGTACCGAACTTGCACACAAAATCACTCACACGAAAGCAAAAGACTTGGCAGACATGCACCCCCCCCCAATGAAAAGCAGGGTGTCCTAGCACTTTTTAGAGACCATACAATAAGTGTCGGGGGCCCGAGACTGTTCAACGCCCCCCCACACACATAAGGGGGATTACCAAAAACCCCCCTGGGTCTTCAAGGGGGCCGGGACAAGCCCAAAGTCAGTTCCGTCACCCGGGCTGTGGCTCGCTTGGTTTCGTGCAGCCAGCAGCACGGGCCTGGTTGATCAGGCGCTGATCCACCGGGAGGCCTGGTCACAGCCCGGGGCCGCGGGGGCATTGACCCCCCGAAACTCTCTCCGGTAAACCCCAGGTGACACTCCCAGGTTTTTGACGTTGTTTTTTCGCTCTTTTTTGGGGCCAGAATTTTTTTGTACCTGATGAAGTTTTAACCTCGGTTTACCATTTGAGTAATTGAAATTTCTCATCGTTAAACTCAATGTTTTCTGCAGCCCACTGAAAGATTCGTTGAGTCCCCTGGAGCCTTGCAGTGTCTGCAAGGGAAAACCCTGTCATGCAGATTCGGGTGTCATCTGCAAAGGAAGACAGGGTGCTGTGGCTGACATCCTTGTCTATGCGGATAGAGGATGAGGAACAAATTGAGCAATACTGTGCCTTTGGGAACAGAGCTTTTCACCCGTTTTTGCTCGGCTTTACCTGTTGAATACCCTGTGTTTTTAGTGGGGAAAAATTTATAGATCCATCGCCGACTTTTCCTTTATTCCTTTAGCACGTTTTGGCAATTACCCATGGCACCTGTCGAAGGTTTTTGCAAAGTCGTATATTTTTCATTCATTCTTTTTGTCTTCTAGTGCATTTAGCCCTTTGTCGGAGTGAGATAGGGATCGGGCAACGGGGCTGGAGGGGGTTGGAGTCCCCCCCAGTTGCCGCCCCGGGTGTCTCCTCCTGTAATTAAGGGGGAGCGCATCTACAGGAGGAGGTTTTTGCTATTGGGAGGAATTGGTGGGAGGTTTTGAAGACTTTTGTCACCACCGGGGGGCAACAGACGGGAAGGACGGGGCCCGGGGGTTCATAGAGTGGCAGGAAAAAAAGCAAGTAAGAAAAAACCCAAGCAGGCGGGACAAAACCCAGCAAAATAGGAGGACAGACAGAAAAGGGATGGATGACAGGGGGAAGAAGGCAGGGGGGGACGGGCAAAGCATGCTGGACAGAACAAAAAAGTAGGCGAGCAGGAAAGGACAAAACAGGGCCCAAATGACGGGGAAGAGAGGCCGACATGCAAGGCAGAACAGGGTAGAGTAGAGAGGTCAGGGCAAGACAAGAGAGTGGCCATATAGGCTTTTCAAGCCAGAGTAAAACGTAAAAAGCACAGCAGGCGGCAGGGGAGGAATGCTCAACAGACAACGGGGAAAGAGGTACAAAAAAGGCAGGCCATGCAAGGCAGGGGAGGGCAAGACGGCAAGACGTTGAGCAGGACAAATCAGAAAGGCACGGCGGCCCCCCAGAACAGGGAGGACAGGGTAGGCATACAGGCAGGACAAGCAGGGAGGCAGGAGGCAGGGGCAGCAGGCAGGAGGCAGGTAGTAGGTAGTTATGCAGGCAGGCGGGCAGGGCAGGGCAGAAAGAGCATGACAGGCGGCAGCTTGGCAAAGGTAGGGGAAGGCAGGGCCAAACAGGGGCAGGCAATCGGGGCAGCAGGGCAGGGGAAGGGAGGGCAGGGTAGGCAAGGCAGGGGATTGGGGAAAAATTCAACGGATAGGAGTAGGAGCGAGTATAGGTAACAAAGTTTGATTGCCGGCTGCTTGTTAAGGTAGGGTCAGTCCTCCCGCTTCTCCCCCTTTCTCCCCCCCCCCCCGAAAGGTGAGGTGGGGCTCCGGCCCAAAAAGTAAACACTCGACTCAGCTCCCACACAACTGAAGTAAAAACCGCTCATATTCTATGAACTTATTTTTGAAAGCTTCACTTTTGATAAAATTAAAATTTTTCTTTTAGCCTTTTTCCCATGTTAGATGTTTAAAATCACCACGTCTTTTAGGTATTGTACTTATCATGGAGAGTGATTTCTTAAAAACAGGGGTAACCTGTCTCTCTTTCCGCTTGGAATGACAATCGGGCACCTGCCAACCAACGAAAGTTTTGAAGGAGAAAGACTTTTTTCAAAAATCCGGAGATGTCACTTTTGGATCTACCCCCTGATTAAAAGTAGGCACAGCAACAACAACCCTACTTTTTCAGGGTAAAAAACCTGCTTTTCCCTTCATCTGGGCTGACTATTCAAGGGTAAGACCTTTAAGAACTAGTCGTTGGGTTTCATCAACACCTGTGACCCCCCCCCTCATCACAACGGGTACAATTTCTACAAACTGTGTCAACCTCCACCCGACACCCCAGTAAATGTACTATTAGCGTTGAAATTTAAATGTCAGTTTTTTTTTTTCATTTTTCATTTTTTTTTCAAAAAGGAACACCTTCAATTTTTACGTTTTATCTTTGCATTAATAAATAATAAAGTGTTTATCTTTGTGAATTATTATTTTTTTTTCTATTCATTAATTTTCCTGAGGAGGAGCCAGCCTTGGTAATACTGTCTGAAGTTGTTACAGGGCTGAGTAAGTCTTCACAGGCAGAGTTAGGCAGGGCAGGGCCAGGCTAGGCAGGGCAGGGCCAGGCTAGGCAGGGATAGGCATGGCAAGGCAGGCAGGGCGAACATACAAAAAGACAGGCATGCAGTGCAAGGCAGGGCAGGGTAGGACAGGGCAAGGCAGGGCAGGGTAGGACAGGGCAAGGCAGGGCAGGGTAGGACAGGGCAAGGCAGGGCAAAGCAAGGCAGAGTTTTATGTAAAATGGAAGACTAAATATTTACAGTATTGTTGTAGCAGTGTAGTGTTGTGAGAGTCGCCTGCAGCCAGCTACGTCTGATACTGGTACACTCTCTCTCTCTCCCCCCACACACACTCCATCCTCCCTCACTATCACTTCTCCACCGTTTCCTGCCACACATATGAAACTAAAACTGAAAACGTTTATTTCTTTGTCAAGTTCACAATATGTGGTTTACATTTTATAAAATCTTAATTACAAAAAATGCCTCTAGCAGGCCTAGGTATTTCAGCAGACTAATCCTAATTCTTACTCTATATTGACACAGGTTACGGAGCAGTACATTTTAATATACATTATGGCGCACTGATATAAAAGTTAGATAATAATGAGGTGGTACAAAAAATATAACAATGTTACAATTAGTAAATTTGGTAATGGGAATGGTAAATCTTGGCATGATACACTGTGTCTGTGTCGGGAGAGTTACTTAGGCAAACTTAGGGCTAACTTAAGATTTATTAGGCAGTAGCTATGTGAGGAATTTTATGTTTACAGTCATTTGGGTGAGTGTAAGTGTAAATTAGTGGGTAATTACAGACAATGAGAGTAAATCTATTTTGTTTTGGATGTGCATATGATACAAAAGTGGTCTTCCTATAGTTAGTTGATGAGTTAGCTGCGACTTTTTGTTACGTTATTATTGGCTTTAGGTGGGTTACTGCTGTTGATCCCCCAGGCACAAATAGCATAGGTGAGGTAGGTATAGATGAGTGATTGTGGCACGTAGTATCGTATCTTGGAAAGGATTCAAACCGTTTTTGATACTTTTTTGCTATGTGTTGGATATAAATCTCCTGCAAGACCAGGACCCACACATTACTGAATTCACAAACACAATGAGTAACTGCATGTTGCTACCAACAGTAACAAAACCTACAAGAGTTACAGAGACTAGTGTTTCCCTACTTGACCACATCTGGACCAACACCATATCCCCTTTAAAATCAGGCATAATTACAGATAATACCACAGACACTACCCTACTTTTA